TTGTATGGAACCAGAAAAGACCCCGAATAGCCAGAGGAATATTGAAAAAGAAAAGCAAAGCTGGTGGCATCACAATTCCAGACTTCAAGCTCTATTACAAAGCTGTAATCATAAAGACAGGATGGTACTGGCACAAAAACAGACACACGGATCAATGGAAGAGAATAGTGAGCCCAGAAATGGACCCTCAACTGTATGGTCAACTGATCTTTGACAAAGCAGGAGAGAATGTCCATGGTAAAAAGACAGTCTCTTCAACAAATAGTGTTGGGAAAATTGGACAGCCATATGCAGAAGAATGAAACTGGACCATTTCCTTACACCACACATAAAAATAGACTCAGAATGGATGAAAGCCCTAGATGTGAGACAGGAATCCATCAAAATCCTTGAGGAGAACACAGGCAGGAACTTCTTCAACCTCAGCTGCAGCAACTTCTTCCTAGAAACATTACTTTCATTATATATTTTTTAAATTTTCATTATATTTGAAGTTAGCTTCTTATAGAAAACATGTAGTTGGATCAAGTTTTTTTTCTTACTCTGCAAATCTCTGGGGTTTTTTTGTTGTTGGTTTTTGACAGAGACACAGCAAGAGAGGGAACACAAGCAGGGGGAGTGGGAGAGGGAGAAACCGGATTCCTGCTGAGCAAGGAGCACAATATATGGCTCAATCCCAGGACCCTGGGATCATGACCTGAGCCGAAGGCAGATGCTTAACGACTGGGCCACCCGGGTGCCCCACAAATCTTTGTTTTTAATTGGTGCATTTAGACCAAGTAGTAATTACTGATACATAGGGCTAGCTAAAAATAGGCTATTTTGTTTGTTTGTTTGTTTTCTGTTCTCTTTTTTGTTTCCTGTGGATTAGTTGAAAATGTTTTTAGAATTGCACTTTTATTTACCTCTGGTACTTTTGAGTGTATCTGTTAGTATAGCCTTTTTAGTGGTTGTTTTAAGAATTACATTATATATCCATAATTTATCTCAGTGTATTGGTGTCAACATTTTGTCAGTGTCAGTGAAATGTAGAAAATTTTGCTTCCTTTATCACTCTTTACTCTCACATCTATAACGTAATTGTCTTAAATATTTCCTCTTTGTGTATTAAGATCCACTGTTATAATTTTTTGCTTCAACCATCAAATATAATTTAGAAAATGCAAGAGAAGGAAAACCTACCCTGTTTTTGCATATTATTACTTATGATGCTATTTCTTCTTGATGCTCCAAATTCCTTCCTTTATAATTTTCTTTCTCTTCAGAGAACTTCCTTCACCCAATTTTTAGGGTAGGTCTGTTAGTGACAATTTTTTTTTCAGTTTTCTTTGTCTGGTAATGTTTTGATTTCCCCTTCATTACTAAAGGATATTTTCATTAGATACTGAATTTGTGGTTGACAATTCTTTTCTTTCAGCACTTAAAAATGGTGTGCTATGTCCCTCTGGCCATTAAGATTTCTGATGAAAAATATGCTGTCATTTGAATTGTTATTACCAATAGTTAAGATTTCTCTTGTTGCTTTCAAGATTTAAAAATTTGTCTTTAGTTTTAAGAAGTTTGACTGATTGTCTGGGCATGGATTTCTTTGGGTTTATCCTGTTCAAGATTTCCTCAACTTCTTGAACCTATAGTTATGTTTTTTGCTAATTTAGGTAAGTTTACAGACATCATTTCTTCAAATACTTTTTCAGTTTCACCCTCTTTCTTCTTTCCTTCTAGGACTTTTATGACATGTATGTTAGATATGCCTTATACTCTCACAGGTCTCTGAGGTTCTGTTCAATTATTTTCCAATCTATTTTCTCTCTGATGTTCTGATAAAGTACTTTCTAATTGTTCTATCTTCAAGTTTAATGATTCTTCACTCTGTTCTTTCCATTTTGCTTTTTAGTCCATCCATTGAGGCTTTTGTTTTTGTTTTTGTTTTTTAGCTATCGAGCTTTACAATTTTAGAATTTTTTTTAAAGATTATTTATTTATTTATTTGAGAGAGAGAGAATGAGAGAGAGAGAAAGCACATGGGGGTGGAGGGTCAGAGGGAGAAGCAGACTCCCCGCTGAGCAGGGAGCCCAATGCGGGACTTGATCCAGGGACTCCAGGATCATGACCTGAGCTGAAGGCAGTTGCTTAACCAACTGAGTCACCCAGGCACCCTACAATTTTAGAATTTCTATTTAGTTATTCTTTACATATTCTATTTCTTTTCTGAGATTTTCTGTTTTGTTGCTGAGACTTTCTATTAAGTCTGTTTGTAAATTTTTATTGAAATATGGTTTTGATGGCTGCTTTAAAATCCTTGTCAGACTATTCTAACATTTCTGTTATCTTGATGTTGGCGTCTGTTAATTGTTTTTCTTATCAAGGTAAGATTTTCCTGGTTCTTAGAATGACTAGAGATTTTTTAAAATTGAAACCTGGACATTTTGAGTATTATGACTCTGAATCTTATTCAAATCTTCTGTTTTAGTAGGCCTTCTTTGATACTGAAACAACAAGAGGACATGGGGCACTGCCTGTTACTGCCAGCTGGGGGTGGAATTCCAGGTTCCCCACTCAGCCTCTGAGTTGACACGAGTCAGGGAAGGAGCTCCTTGTTCCTCCTGGGCAAGGGTAGAAATTGTGGTTCTGTATGAGGGCCCCACTGATTTCACCCTGGTTTGGATGTAGAGGGGTGCCTTATTACTGTTCCCGAGTTGGCCTTCACTGACATTGCAAGGTGAGTGGCCTCATTTCTGTTGGGCAGCGATGAAAGTCTTGACTCTTCATTAAGAAAACTCTGACATCACTCCAGCAGGGAGACGGAGCAGTATATTATTACTACTGGATAAGGTGAAAGCCTAGGCTCCTTTCATACTCTCAACTGAACCACAGTGCTTGGGGTCTCATTTTTTTCCTGGTGGGGATGAAAATCCCATCTCTCCACCCTGCCTTCTCTAACACCAACCTGGTAAGTGGTGTTGGTGGACGTTTTTAGAACCTGGTGAGGGAGAAAGTTTAGGTTCCCTTCTTGGCCTTTGATGGTTTGGGTAGAAGTATAAAGTTGAAGGTTATTCTCTGTGGTGTTTGGTTGGAATAGAGTGGTTATTATCTAAAAGTTCTCTGCCTTGCTAGGCTGCTCTTTTCATCGTCCTTTGGCTGGAGAGAGCAGGCTTTTCTAAAAACTTCTGTTGTCTGTATCCGGTGGGGTTTCTGTTTTACTGACTTCTCCAACACCAGTCTGTGATACATGAAGCAAAAAGAAAACCCAGGAACTCACTTCTGTGTCACTTTGCTGGTTGCAATGTTCCTAACCAGACTTCCTTCTTCTTTCCACCTTTCTGAGTCTTTTCATGTTAGTTTTATACATAGTAATGTCCAGGGCTTTCAGTTATACTTAGAAGGAATAGGGGAAAGTATTTCTACTCCATCTCTCCAGAAATGAAGTTGCCTGTTTTTTAAACAATTTTTTAAATAAGTGAGTTTAATCTAGTAAAAGGGATTTTCACGCTCCTCTTTAAAATTTGAGATGTTTCTATACTTCGTGGTTAAACTCCATTAGTATTATATTCTTCTCACTTCAGGAAAAATCCATACATTTTGCAGCATACTTAAAGATATTCATTTTGTTTTTTGAAGTTTGACTGCCTCATCTTTTCTAATTTTTAAATAAAAAATAAAAGCAAATTTAAGAATTTGCTGATAGAGTTCTGTCTTGTGAGAAAGATGATACTTCATCATGGAAAAAATACTAGACTCTTGTTCTAATCACATAGCTATGATGTCTTCAGGAATACTGATTGAATTACTTATGCATGTTATTGACAAAACACCTTGTATCACTATTCTAGTAATGCTATATAAAAAATAAAACTGTTAATAAGTTTGCTTATAAGAACAGAAAAATAAGACTACTATCACTTATATTGTCCATTTGTAAATGCTAGTAAATAAAAACCATCAATCCTTTTCTTTCTTCAGATGAGGGGTATGTCTGATAAATCACTCCGGCTAGTGCTGTCCACATTCAGCAACTTACGGGAGGAGCTTGGACATCTTCAAAATGACTTGACAGTAACACTTATTTTGATTTTTCTTTCCAAAGCCTTCCTAGTTCCTAACATAGAAATGAAGTCGTTCAGTCCACCTTTCAAAACTTAATACAATGCATAATATTATGCTCACCCATAGTTATTTTCTTGAAACAATTAATTGAGGTTGAAAGAGGATATAAGAACTCTCCAATGTCAAAATAAAAGAACACTGGGTATGCACTTATTATTTAGTTTACTACTAAGGTAAGTTGATATCTACAGCCAGGAAGTAGCTTGCAAAATTAGAATACTCTAACTCATTGAATGGGAATTCCCCCTTTTTCTGTAATAATAAAGCATACTCTGAATTTTTTTGAATACTTGTAAACTTCCTTCTCCAAGAAGTTAGCTTTTTCTATTTTCCATTTTAGTTAGTGTTTTTGATGTCATTAGCTAACTACATTCAGAATACCCTCCATATAATGAATAATTCCCTGAAAACTGGAGTTTTAGTTTTCTGGATTCTGATGAACACATTTAGACTCTAATTTAGAAATTCACCACCTACTGGGGTTAACAAGGATTCTTTGTAGATTTAGACAAAACATTAAAATAATTTGAAAGTTCTGTTTTATTGAATTTATAATTAGTCAATTCATCAAAAGTTCTCTAAGAATGAAGGTTTTTAAAGTTTCATCCATTTGTATCCTATATTTTGCTTGACTTTTTAGAATTCTGTTTTATCAGGCAACTGCAAATGAAAGAAGTGCTTATTTAAGCCTTCCAATGTAAACTAGTCTTTGTATTATGTAACTGTTGACAAGTTTCTGTAATTCCGAATCTTAACAAGTAATTTTGCTTCTAGTCACTGGAAAATGACAAGATAAGCCTTGAGAAAGATGTGGCATTCAAAGAAAATCAAATAAAAGAGTATGAAGAACTCTTGGCATCAGTGAGAGCAAATAATCGCCAGCAGCAGGTAAGTTGATATCTTCATTGATGATAAACTAGATTGATAGCTTTTCATATGCAGAATGACTGACTCACTGTAGTTATGACATACGATCCAGACAGAATTAAAATATGATGGAACAATTTATTCATATAAGAATTGAATGGCTTTGATTATTTCCAATGACTGAAAGCTCTGTCATAAAAACAGATAACCTTGTATACTTTAAAGTATACTAATCCACAATTATCTGTGTTGTTGGGTGACAAGAACTGTGTAAATATTGAAAAGCTAAGTTCACTCATTCATTTAATCTACTAAAGTGTTGATAAAAGAGGTTTTGTAGGTCTTAACACACATTTGTGCAGTGAATAAGCAAATTAACTCTAGAAATACTCTCCAGATATCTGAGCAGAGATGATTTCTAAGAAATTGTAATGAGTCTCTAAGGTCGATCCCTTCCTAATCTTCATTCCCATGACAGTCCCAATTTTTTCCTCAGTTTCCACATAAATAATCAGGCATATGGTCATATTGGTGCCTACTAGAAGGCAAAATATTGTTGAAGAGTACCAAGAGTCAGATTGCAAAATTAGAACACTGAAAATTCATCCAGTCTTGATTCCTTCTCACTCAAGATAAACATATCAGACTAGGGGCAAGAATCTCTTTCATGGCTGATTTAACTTACTATTTAAGGGTAAATATATAAGAAAACTGGGCATGGAAAAAATATACACTTTATTTCCTTGAATTAATCAACTAAGAGAGCACTCTCCTCCAAAAATGTAGAATCCCTTTGTCTTACTTACTTGTGTCTTCTTTATAGCAAGGACTTCAAGACTCAACCTCAAAATGCCAAGTATTGGAAGAAAACAATCTCTCTCTTCGACATACACTCTCAGACATGGAATATAGACTCAAAGAACTGGAATACTGCAAGCGTAATTTAGAACAAGAGAATAAAAATCTTAGAATACAGGTATTAAAATTTTGTTTTAAATTTGTTATTGCCTTAGTTATACCACTGTATAGTATATATATGTCCTATTACTCTTAAGAAAATATATTGGACTAAAAACCACTCTTATTATTTCAATGCCTCATTTAATCATGTAGTTTTCATCTAATAATAAGTCTGATAATAAAATATGTATTTCCTTCATAATAATCCAATTACATAAAATTATTTTGCCTTGTATAGGTTTCTGAGACTTGCACAGGCCCGATGCTGCAGACAAAAATGGATGAGATTGGCAACCATTACAAGGAGATGGTAAAAAACTTAAGAATGGAGAAAGATAGAGAGATCTGCAAGCTAAGGGTATGTTGATCCTACAGTGCATAAATACACAGGTCAGCACAAACTTTCTAATAAAATAGTGATGGTTTCAAGTTTAAAGCTACAAGGAAAAATCAACTAAAGGCAGAGTCAGGAATATGACATAGAAACTTTTATTTATATACATATTACTGTGTATAGAATACTGTTAAATTGTTTTCTAATTTAGGTTAATCAAAATAAGGGTGATTTTGTGAGAATAAGTATACATTGCCTTATCTTGTAATTCTAGATCAAATTGACTAACTCTTAATTTACTGATTCCTAAATATAGCTAAATATACTTAAATATTTAATGGAAAAACCAACCATAGATTTTTCTTTCCAAATATCATGGTGGAATTTTTTCCAAAAACCAAAATGAAACAAAATATAATTTTTTCAAAAGCCTACCATTTTTTTCTTGCAGATTTCCTTCACTTGTTTCCTTTTCATCCCAACACTACTTAAAACATTTTACCGTAACAGCCATCTATGCACAGCTAACGTAGTATAGAGGAAAATGGGCAGGATTTGGAGTCAGAATATCTGTCTTGGATTTGCAGCTATGTTGCTTACTAGTTGTGGAACTGTATGTCATGTAACCTCTCTGGTAATCTCATTTACCTATTTTGTAAATAAGGATTTTAATAATACTTATTTCACAGGGCTGCTGTGAGAATTGAGATAAATCATGCAGGAGGAATATTTTGTGAACTGCAAATCACAGTATAATATTAGTTATTATTAGTGAGCTTTCTTTAATTAGTATTTGAAGGAATTCTAAAGTACCTATTTTCTTAGCTTTATTTTAATTCTTGTGGTTTAGGACTGTTACTTAAGTAATGCCTAACCCTAAATAGTAAAAGGTATCTTTAAAAAATGAGAAATGCCTAATTGGCATTTTATTCATATTTTACACTCATTAAACTCTACAAATGTTTACAACTATTGGTACTTCACTCTTCATAACTTGCAGTATGACTTTATGTCACTGAACCTCTTGGAACTCAATTACCTATTTCATAAATTAGATTTATAATAATTCTTCTTTCTTTTAAATCACTAGACTCAATTAAATCAGTACCAAAAAGATGTTTCAAGAAGAGAAGGAAGTTGCAGCGACTTCCAGTTCAAGCTTCATGAACTGACAAGCTTGCTGGAAGAGAAGGATTCCCTTATAAAGCGTCAGTCAGAGGTAAGAAGGGAAGTGGTAGAGGTGGAGAGGAACTCAGTTAAGTATGATAAATACTTCCCATGAACTAGAGAAGAGCACATTCCCAAAACTCACTTTATTCATGAAGTAGAATGTAACTGACTGTGAAGAAGTGAAAGATTCATATTTTAGGAGATATAATTCAAATGAAAGCAAGAATTGAAACAAAAAAAATGTGTTATTGTGCATTTAATATTTTTAATGTTATATCTCATTAGCAATGTTACTCCCAGTAAGACTGAGCTTTTTATTCTTTATTATTAGCTGCTTCAGCAAAGGACTGTGTTATATTCTTCTCTGTATCTGTAGCATATGGCCCAGGATCTGTTATAAAATAGCACTGAAGGAAGGAACTACAAAAAATGGTGGCCAATGTTATATCGCTGTTATTGAACTAATGGTGCTTATAGTAATGATCAGTGATAGACCTTCTGTTAGGAACCAATACCTGCTTCCATATTGAAGTTTCAGTACTTTTCAGCTATGACTATAACTTTTCAAGCTTCTTAGGACAAAAAATTTCTCATCTTTATCTTGAGAAACATGCCCATTCAATATCATGTTATCTCTTAAATATAGAAATCCTATACCATTTAGTGATTTCCTGAACAGGCATATTATGTAACTTATTAGGTACCATGAAGCCATAATATACGGTATTCAAAAGGTGGGGTTGTGGGGTTAGAACATTCTCATGTCCTAGCTAAAAGAGAAGGAAAAAAGTAATTGTTCTTAGTAACCTTGTTAAGTGATCGAACATACTTCTTACCTCATGTTTCTACTGTTTTCAAATAATTATATTGTCTTTTATTTGTAAGGAACTCTCAAAGTTGAGAAAAGAAATGTATTCATCTCATAACCAACACTCCAGTGGTGGAAGGACTACTATTACCACTAAAAAGTAATGTATTTTTAAATGAAATTTGAATATGACTTTAGCTATTATTTAATTCAAGTTATAGCATGTTTAATTGATATATATAGAGTTTGTTTTCTGCAGGGCAGTAAATCTACTGAAGAATGAATATTTACACAAAGACATAGCTGTTATGGAAAATAAAATTCTGTAGCACATCTTTCCTATATTTACAATGTATCAAATACGATGTAAGTGAAAAACAATTTGTTGTTTAACCAACCATTTGAGTCAAGATTCTTTCAGTAGCACATGCCAGCAACCCAACTTAAACTGGGAATTAGTTAATTCACTTAGTTGGGATTGCTTGGTGTCCAGATAGATTTGTGTGCTCAAAATATGTCTTCAGAAATATGTCCTTCTTTATCTCTTAGCTCTGCTCTTTCCTATGTAGACATTATTCTTAGGCATCTCCCCTTATAATAGCAATCTGACCACAGCTGACATCCCAGCAATTTAGCAAAATGAAATAGAAAGTGACTCTTTGGAAATAGTTTCAGCAAAAGTCTATTTTGGATATTTCATATAAATGGAATAAAAATGTGGTCTTTCATGACTGGATTCTTTCACTTTGCATAATGTTTTCAAGATTCATCCATGTTTTAGTTTGTGTCCGTACTCCATTGCTTATTGTTACTAAATAATATTACATTTCATGGATATACAACATTTTATGTATACACCTAGGAGTGGGATTGCTGGGGCACATGGCAACTCTGTTTAACTTATTGAGGAGCTGCTAAACTGTTTTCCAAAGCAGCTACACAATTTGACATTCCCACCAGCAGTGTATTGAGGGTTCCAAATTCTCTCCATCCTCCCCAACATTTGTTATTGGTCATCTCTTAGATTATAGCCATTCTAAGGGTGGGAGGTGGCATCTTACTGTGGTTTTCATTTGTATTTCTCTAATAATTAATATTTAGTATTTTTTCATGTGCTTATTGGCCATTTATAGATCTTCTTTGGAGAAATGACTGTAAAAATTCTTTGTCCATTTTTAAATTAGATTATTTGCTTTTTTACTGCTGAATTGCAAGAGATATTTATATATTCTGGATACAAGTCCCTTATCAGATATATGATTTTGCAAATATTTTCTTCCATTCTATTGGTTGTCTTTTTACTATCTTGATAGTATCATTTGCAGCACAAGTTTTTACATTTGAGGAAGTCCAATTAACCTATTTTTTCTTTTCTTACTTGTGCTTTTGGTATCATATTAAGAATTCATTGCCTAATCCAAGGTCATGAAAATGTGCACCCCTGTATTCTCCTAAGAGTTTTATTTATTTATTTTTATTTTTAAAAGATTTTATTTATTTATTTATTTATTTATTTATTTATTTATTTATTTATTTATCTTATTTATCAGAGAGAGAGAGCATAAGCAGGGGAAGCAGCAGGCAGAGCAGGCAGAGGGAGAAGCAGGCTCCCTGCCGAGCAGGGAGCCCGATGTGGGACTTGATCCCAGGACCCTGGGATCATGACCCGAGCCAAAGGCAGATGCTTAACTGACTGAGCCACCCAGGCGTCCCTCTCTTAAGAGTTTTGTAGTTTTACCTATTACATTTAGATCCATGAACCATTTTGAGTTAATTTTTTCTATGGTGCGAAGTAGGAGTCCAAGTTCATTCTTGTGCACGGGGCTATCTGGTTGTCCCAGTATCTTTTGTGGAATATACTATTCTTTCACCCATTGAATTAACTTGGCATCCTTATTGATAATCAAAAGACCATAAATGTAAGGGTAAATTTGTAGATTCTCTGTTTTACACCATTGATCTATTTGTCTGTCTTCATGCAAGTACCACACTGTCTTAATTATTGTAGCTTTTTAGTTACATTTTGAAACCAGAAGTGTGAGTTTTTAAACTTCTTCTTTTCAAGATTGCTTTAGCTATTTTTGGTCCTTTGCTCTTCTATATGTATTTTGGGATAAGCTTGCCAAGGGATTTCATTAAATATGTAGAAAACTTTGGGTATTATTTCCATGCTAACAATATTAAGTCTTTTAATCCTTGAGCATGGGATCCTTTTCCATTTAGATCCTCTTTAATTTCTAAAAACAGTATTTTGTACTTTCATTGCAGAAGCCTTACACTTCTTTGTTAAATTTATTTCTAAGTATTATATTTTTTGATGTTCCTGTAATAGAATTGGTTTTGATGTTACTGTAAATAGACTTGTTTTCTTTTTCTTCTTTTTCTTTGTTTCAAGTTTTTATTTAAATTTCAGTGAGTTAACATATAATGTAATACTAGTTTTAGGAGTAGAATTTAGTAATTCATACTTACATATAGCACCCAGTGCTTTTATTTGAGTGTAGTTGACACACAATATTACATTAGTTTCAGGTGTATAATGCAGTGATTCAACTTCTCTATATGTTATGCTACATTCATCACAAGTGTAGCTCCCACCAGTCACCACGCAACAGTATTACAATATCACTGACTATATTCCTGATGCTGCGCCTTTTATTCCTGTGACTTATTCATTCCATAACTAGAAGCTTATATCTCCCACATCCTTTCACCCATTTTGCCTATCCCCCAACTGCCTCCTTTCTGGCAACCATTGGTTTGTTCTCTGTATTTATAGGTCTGATTCTGCATTTTGTTTATTTTTTGTTGTTCTTGTTTAGGTTCCATATATGAATGAAATCAAATGGTATTTTTCGTTCTTGGTCTGACTTATTTCACTTTGCATAATACCCTCTAGTTCCTTACAGTTGTCGCAAATGGCAAAATCTGATCTTTTTATGGCTGAGTAATATTTCATTATGTATCACTTCTTCCTTATCTATTCTTCTTATTGATGGACACTTATGTTGCTTCCATATCTTGCTAAATAATGCTGCAATAAACATAAGGGTGGGCATATTATTTCAAATTAGTATTTTTGTTTTGTTGGGTAAGTACTCACTAGTGGAATTATTGGATCATATGATATTTCTATTTTTAATTTTTTATGGAGACTGTGCTGATTTCCACAGTGGCTGTACCAATTTATATCCCCATCAACAGTACATGAGGGTTCCTTTTTCTCCACATCCTTGCCAACACTTGTTATATCTTGACTTTTGTATTTTAGCATTCTGATAGGTGTAAAATGATATTGTGGCTTTGATTTGCATTTCCCTGACGATTAATGATATTGAGCATCTTTTCATGTGCCTATTGGTCATCTATCTGTTTTCTTTGGAAAAAGAAGGTCCTCTGATCCTGTTTTAAGCAAATTGCTTGGTTTTTGGTGTTGAGTTGTATAATTCTTTATATATTTTGGATATTAACCCTTTATCAGATATATTATTTGCAAATATCTTTTCCCATTCAGTAGGTTGCCTTTTTGTTTTGTTGATGGTTTCCTTTGCTGTGCAAAAGCTTTTTATAGCTTATTTTTGCTTTTCTTTCCCTTGCTTTAGGAGACATATCTCGAAAAATTTGCTGTGGCCAATGTCAGAGAAATTACTGCCTGTGTCTTTTTCTAGGATCTTTATGGTTTCAGGTCTCACATTTAGGTCTCTAATCCATTTTGAGCTTATTTTTGTGTATGGTGTAAGAAAGTGGTCTAGTTTCATTCTTTGTGTGTTGCTGTCCAGTTTTCCCAATATGATTTGTGGAAGAGACTATCTTTTCCCTTTATATATTCTTGCCTCCTTTGTAATAGACTAATTGACCATGTAACTGTAGGTTCCTTTCTGGTCTGTCTATTTTTTTCCATTGACATATGTGTCTGTTTTTGTGCCAGTACCATAATGTATTGATTATGTACTATGTAATGTATCTTGAAATTTGGAAATGTGATACCTACAAATTTGTTTTTCTTTCTCAAGATTGTTTTGGCTATTTGGGGTCTTCAGCAGTTCCATAAATATTTTAGGATTATTTGTTCTAGTTCTGTGAAAAATGTTGTTGTTTTTTTAAAGGGATTACATTGTATCTGTAGATTGCTTTGGGTAGCACAAACATTTTAAAAATATTAAGGCTCCCAATCCATAAGCATGGTATATGTTTCCATTTGTTTGTGTTGTCTTCAGTTTCTTTTTTCAGCGTTTTATTGTTTTCAGAGTACAGGTCTTTCACCTCCTTAGTTAAGTTTATTTGTAGGAATTTTGTTCTTTTTGGCACAATGAAAATGGGATTGTTTTCTTAATTTCACTTTCTGCTGCTTCATTATTAGTTTCTAGGAATGCAACAGATTTCTGTACTTTGATTTTGTATCCTGTTACTTTACTGAATTCATTTATCACTTCCAATTGTTTTTTATGGAGTCTATAGGGCTTTCTATGTATAGTATGTTATCTACAAATAGTGAAAGATTTACTTCTTCCTTACCAGTATGGATGCTTCTTATTTCTTTTTCTTGTCAGCTGTGGCTAAGACTTTCAGTACTATGTTGAATAAAAGTGGTAAAAGTGGACATCCCTGTCTTGTTCCTGATCTTTAAGGAAAAGCTCTCAGTTTTTCACCATTGAGTATGATGTTGGCTGCAGGTTTTTCATACGTGGCCTTTATTATGTTAAGGTATGATTCCTCTGAACACATTTTGTTGAGAGTTTTAATCATGAACAGATGTTGAATTTTGTCAGATGCATTTTCTGCATCAACTGATTATACAATTCTATCCTTCCATTGTTGATGTGGTGTATCATGTTGATTGATTTGGGAATATTGAACCATCTTTGCATCCCCAGAATAAATCCCAGTTGATCATAGTGAATGATCCTTTTGATGCATTGTTGAGTGTGGTTTGCTAATATTTTGTTGAGGATTTTTGTATTTATGTTCATCACAGATGTTGGCCTGTAGTTTTCCTTTCTGTGGTGTCTTTGGTTTTGGTATCAGAGTGATGTTGGTCTCATAGAAAGTTTTGGAAGCTTTTCTTCCTCTTTTTTGGGGAATAATTTGAGGGTAATAGGTATTAATACTTCTTTTTTAAATTGAAATTCAATTTAGTTAACATATAATGTATTGTTAGTT